CTCTCTCTCTCTCTCTCTCTCGTTCTCTCTATGGCTGTGCGTATGCAATAGACTTTATTTTTCGCATGCTGTTGATGTCATCCTTTTAATGGTATATATGTAGAATGATTTTTGGGCAGGAACGAAGCCAACAAATAAAGCAACGATCAAGTTTATACCACCAAGGAAATAGACACCAGCATCAAGAAGAATTCAAGAATAAGAAGAAGAAGAAGAAGAAGATGGAGAAAGAATAAAATAAAATTTCGCAGCAAATCAAAGAAATCGAATGCGAAAAGAGTAAGCGCAGAAAGTTGTGATAGAATGAGTCTCATATAAATGCATTACCGACCGGAAAAGCGTCCAAATCAATAAGAGACGTATTGTTTACTTTTACTATCGTTTTTTTCTTCTTCTCCTCCTCCTCCTCCTCCTTCTTCTTCTTCTTCTTCTTTTTCTTCTGTGGATGTGTGTGGTTCCCATGCAGATGGATGTGGTGCCAAACTATGGGGGAAAAATAGAACTGAGAAAATGTGACAGGATCAATGGGATTTGTTTGCATCCTATTTATACATCTCTCCCAGCGAGCTCGCCAAACTCACTCTTCTGTGAATATTTTTTTCAGCTCGCATGCAATCGGTTCGATTTGATTAGTTTTCTGCAGAGGCATTATGTGTGAGGTTGCCAACTATTTGAGTCGAGTAAGCATCGAATTATTTCGACTTGAGTTTTTGAATACAGCTATTCGATCCGGCTTTCTCTCGGGCTGCTTCTGCCTTTTCTTTCCACTTCTTCTTCTATCAACCATCATCGTCACCGCTGCCGTCGTTGTCGTCGTCATCCTCATTGAAAATCTCATATCTCATGCATTTCAGGCCATTTCAGGAAGATTGAATGAAAATGAATTTCGGACGAAAATATATTTAAAAGAAAATTCCCAAGAAAAAGAGTTTATGTTTTCGTTGTGTGTGTGTGTGTGTTTTTTTTTTTTTTGTTCAACAACAATATGTCGATCTTTTGAATAAACACATCACTCGCATACGTCATGTTTCACTTTAAATTCCTAATGTGTGTTACTTTTCTCTGAGCCGTCAAATTCAAATGCTGTTCTTTTTATTATTAATTGTATACACAAAGCACAGCTTACTAGAAGAAGAATGCGAAACAAAGAATAATTCCTGCCGCTGACTGAGTAAATGATTTTCTGCTTATTTCTCACTCAACTACGCGCGAAAGTGTAGTGTGAACACCGAATGGCTTTGTAGTATTGATTGAAATGGCATCGGCAGCAGATGTACTCGCATCTGATGGACGGGAAATTGCGAGCGAGAGAGAGAGGAAGAGGGAATGAATAAGCTACAAAAAAATTTTCATCGAAGCAGGTTGTGTGTGAAAATGAAAATGAAATAGCACCTCATACCGTATACAGACACCGGGCACAAATTACACAATATGTTGTACATTCACGTTCATAGGCATGTCTAGCACCATATCGCTGCTCATCAAACTACACATATGTTAGCTACCGCTCTATTAGATGCAAATGAAAAACGACCGCACAAAATAACCAAACCGAAATGCGCAAACACATACCGCACAGCGCACAGCGAACCCAAATGTATGAATGAAAACAAAACAACGAAGCGCGGCATCGTCACCAAGCAGATGAACATAAGTAAAGAGAGCGAGAGATATGCCCCACTTTATCATCTTTTAGTAAACAAATCATGCGATACATTTAAATTAATAGAAGGAAAATAGCGAAATAAAGATGTGTATTATTTTTCATGAAAAGGCAATCGGTTTGGATGTGTGTGAGCACGCGCGCGCGCTCATCATAATTCGACAGGGCACGTAAACATATGCGCACATTTAGAACGTCAAGCAAAGATGTCGGTAGAATGAGAGATTAGGTTTAAGTTTTCCATGCGATTTCCGGACGAACGAACGACGACTGAAATTTCACTCAATTGTTGACACTTTAAAGACCTTTAAACTCTCAGTCCATCAATAAAATGTCGATCTCCGTGCCAATCAAGCGGAAAAACTTTAAATCAACCATACAACAGCAAAGAGATGAATGACATCTCATATAAAAACGACCCAATAAGATTACGCGCTTTACGGCACACAATCGAATGACACATACTGGAAATATGGCGACAAATAATTTTAAACGGTACTAATTATGAAATTTCGTAAATTTTGTTTGTATTCGATGTCTTTGAACACAATTTTCTGTTCTTCATTAAACCGTAAAATGCGGCTTGCATGAACATTGAAACGAATTGCCGAGAAAAAACAAAAAAAAACTGTACACGAAAAGCACAACGGTTTTTTTTGTGTGTGTACTATCTTTTAAAAACCGCAATGCACGATTTTCACACCATTTTTCTGTGTATGAACTCGATTCGGAATTTGTTGAATGTTTTAGAATGAGCTGTTTGGGTCGAGCGCGCGTTGTGTGCCTTTTTTTGGTGCACGAAGGGTATTCAATTGAACAATTTCGCTGATTCGCTTTGAATATACACAAAGTTGGCGAGTAATTTTTGCGTTATCTTCATTTACCGAAAAACACACACATAAAAATTTGGCATATCACTTTTTCACCGTCCATGAATTTTCAGCACAGCACGCATAAATGAGCGGCGTTTTTGCAGTAATGGCTTGAAATTCGATATTAGGCTTTTGTCGAACACATTTGGTTTCATCGGCTGATGGTGGCGGCGGCGGTCCATCTATAAACATATTTGTTTGTTTACTGAGGGGAATCATATCGGAGATTTTTGGCAAAAGTTGTTTGCTTTATCAACCGAGATATGGTAAATGACCGAACAACATGAGAGCGTAAACTTTGAATTCACTGAAACAATTGGTGTCCGTCGGGGCAGAGGGACAACCAGAGATAGAGATAGAGCGAGGGAGAAGAGAAAAATGAAATGTGGTTAAAATAGAATAGTTGCATACGTTTTTGTTTTGCATACCGCAAACAATTTTTGGATCTATACCGTAACTGTGTGGATACAGATATTTGTGGAGTCGTGGCATCCGATCTTTTGGTAACGTCCAACCAAGCTTCATTGGAAAGTTAAGCGATTTCTTTTGAGAATAATTTCATTAGATTGAATTCGATGAGAAAATCGGCTTGAAACGGAAATGAGCATTCAAAATGCTAGTTTCTTATACACATTCAAAGAACAATCCCAAAAAGATTCCTCAATTAGGTCAATGAAATTTTGCCAAGCACAAATCATAACGACCAAAAGAAGAAGAAGAAGAAGAAGAAGAAGAAGACGAAGAAGAAGAAAAAGTAGTTGAAAAAAAAACACAGACCCACACACACGATAAGGGACGCCATAAATCTACATTTCAGATTAAATATGGCAGATATATCGCTCTTTAATTTGTGAACCCTTTCCTTGTAAACGTGAACGTTCAGAAATGTGCCACAACACCATAAATAATACTACGAATGAAAGACGGCATATCATGCTAACTGTAATTCTTGGGCAAAAGATGCCAAAAGTGCATTTACATACAGATATGCTACAGTATTATTTGTGCGTGTGTGTGTGTATGTATTCGGAAAAAAGTTTTTCCCATCAATAAATAGCACCCATTCTTCCAGATATACACAAAACTTTGGCAACTGTTGCTTTTTTATCGGGCAAAAACAATTAAATGATGTGAACAGAAAAAAAGGGAACCATTCCAACGCACAATTCCACTCTTTGATGCCGAATTACAACCGCACGCTTGGACTTCATTTTCGTTTTTGTGAACGGAAAATTCGACCGAAAAAAAAACGTGAAAACAAAGTCAGCCTAAAAAAGGCGACTAGCAGAGAAAACAACATCATCACAAAAAAAAAATCGAGTTGAAATGAAAACATTTTTTACGAAATTCATTTTCAACACACATAACAACCGAAAATGATCCTTCAACTGTTGACAGATCTCGAATTTAACTGGTACACTGTGTTAAAATTGGACTAAACAGTTGTTATTTCTTTTATTCGGGACAATCCATTCAAAAAGCCGAAAAGAATAACTTTATTTGTTTGGGAAATTTATTCAATTTTCACTCATTAAAGTTTACCTTTTACAAAAATGCCACGGTGAAAAATGTTGGTGTAATATTACTGCAGCAATATTTAAAGAAAAACTTGAATATTTGATTTTCAAACAATGTAATTTGGGAAATTAAATGAGCCATAGTGCAAATATTCTAACACAACCGAATTGAATATTGTTCATATATCACACCGTTTGGCTTTTTTCTGTTTTTGAATGAAATAAGTGTGAAAAGCCAGTAAAAATATATCCGCGGCGAATAACAACAGCGAAAAATAATTACATTATTTCGAAATTGAGTGAACCGTTTTGGCCAACAAACCCATTTAGACTAAATGCATGAAAATGAATCAGACGACGTTGGAGCTCTCGGTGTCGTTCTCCCCAGCTTTCGAAATCTCTTTCTCACAGTGGTGGCGTGTGGTGTGTTTGTGTGCGGAAGAGAGAGAGAGAGAGAGAGAGAGAGAGAGAGAGAGAAACCCAAAGCTTTCCGACTGTTATTCGAGAACACAATTAAGAGTCAAGTGAAGTGATTTCTAACAATGATTGTAAAAGCACAACGGAAACTGAATCTCAGTTGCACGCACTCGAACCCATTTACAAGTATTGGCATCAATAATCTAAAGTACTTATTGAACACAAATGTCGTTAAAATTGACGACAATCTTGTACACTCGGTGTTAGCATAATTGAATATCACTGCCGTGATTCAAGCAAACGACAGTCAATTTTCATGTTTTTAGCACCTCTAACTTGAATTGATTTTGAAGTTTTTTTTATTTCTCAACACTCCTGATGCACCAATTCACACATCGAACGCAAACCACAACCAACCAACCAACCAATAATCAATTCATTCGCTACAATTTAACAACAGTAATAACGAAAACATAAAAAAAAAATTGTAACTGAAAACAATAAATATGAACAAGAGAAAATTGTACGTACACTGCACCCGGTTTCAAGACCAGAGAAACTAACGCATGATTTGTCCGAAAATGGTTCAAAACACTTTGGTAACGGTTTTTCTCTTCAATTTCAGTTTGAAAGATCAAGTCGGTTAAAATAATCGATATCACACAAAATACACAACAAATTTTTTGTTTCGAACGAGTCCGAGCAGCCGTTGTGTAGTCAGCGTTGTCGAAACAGTATCTGTACGAATACTGAATGAGAAAACCACAGAACAAACAATATCAAGCGGCAAAACAACAATATAATGCCTATACTATTCGTTTGATTCGTTATATCGAGTATATAAATATAATTTGGTTGTGTCTTGGCTCTCTGCTGTTAGGATAGAGCGAATAGCAGTGGCGGTACACTGTGCATGGAAACACATATGAATGAATACGCGGCAAAAGCATGCGTATTAAAGCGTACAATACGATTCAGTGATGACGATGACGTCGTCGTCGTTGTCGTCGTTGTCGTTGTTCAACGTGTGTACCGTTTGTTTATCCACATTTCGAATGTGAAAGAGAAAGCATTCGTTGTGAGTGTTGCAGCAAGCATCACATCAATTCCGGCAAAACGATGCAAGTAAATTCCGTTGGATTGCACGTGCTTCGATATTTTCATCCTGCTTTTTTTTATCGAGTAATCGGAGGAGCACACGAATTGAGGCAACGTCGAGCTGCGTCCATGACGTCGACACCATTGTCATCGATTCAACGATAGTGAGAGTAAATCAAAGTACGTTCGATGTGATTTGTTTACATTCAATTGTTTTGGTTTTTTTCGTTAATTCGCGTGCAACATATCTGTGTATACACACATATTCACACACTCCCCCGCACGCTGTGTGGCGATTCAGGCTGCTTCGCCTCTCGTTGATGGAATTTAACTGTTTTCGATAAAAAAGAATGTCATATCATTACCGTATCGCTGATGTTATATCAGTTTCATATGGACAGAAATGCCTTATCATTATTGCTCCTCAAATGAATGAATTCGATGAGATTGGTCGAATTCAGTCAAATCGTCAACAACAATGCAGCGATAAAAACAATGGCATTATGTTTCACAATCAATGGATCTGTATCCGTGGTAAAATAGATTAAATTTACCAAATCGTTATGTATGTGGGCCAAAAATTCTGAAGAAAAGTCAAGTAGTAACACCTAAACCTTTTTCCTCTCCCGGTTTTCAGCCTATTTTTACTCCCTTCGAACGTATACGTATGAATTTATGTATTTATCGCTCAGGCTCGACTCGAATGATGACATGGTCGTTTTCGGTTCATGACGTAAGGATGTATTTCACATTTTCAGCATTTAATCCGAACAATGGGCGCATACACATCAAATAAAGCGTATCGACCGTGCCATGGATTACAAACAGCAACAGTAACGGACGGCGTCGACGACGACAACGGCTCATTCCCAGCGATATCAAATGAAATAGTCATTTTCATTGTGATTTGGTTGTTGGTCGAACTGAATTGTTTTTCGAATGCTTTCGGCTTTTTTGTTAAGCACAAAAAAGCGTTCCCCCTTTCCGACGAGAGGAAAAAGAACCGTTTATCACGTTACAAACGAAGCGTACAGCACGTTATTTGTAATTTGCCAGATTCGACAGCATATTTTCAACAGAAGCTTGACATTAAATGGTCATATGGGTCCGGCAAAAAATCACAAACTAATTTCCAAATAACAAAATCAGAACAAAAAGACAGGCACAATAACAATAGGTGCAGAAGAAGGATTTTTTCGTTTTAATTTCATGAAATGTCAAACAATAGCGAAAATGAAATGTAGCTCAACTATCACAAAACTATTTTTCACAAATAGCAACAACAACAACAACAACAAGCATGTACAAATTGAACTGCTTGTCTCTCTAATCCGTGCCGTTGTCTCAGACTAAAAACTAAGCAGAATATATAGCCAGTCGTTAAATTTTAATGATGAACCATTTTTCTTATATTCTCTCTCTCTCTCTCTCTCTCTCTTGCTGCGCGCTGTTGTTGTTGTTTTCTTTATTCTTCTCTCTATTGCTGTCTCAACTTGTCTTCTTCGCCGTTCACCGAAATTTACAAGTATATCATAGCACAGTGCGTTTTTACTATGGCACTTCCGTTTTCTTTCAGTCTGTGTTGTACACCAAAAATTGTGCGTTCCTTTCGAAATGCATGTCGTTGTCGAACAAGCACGTAAGTAATTCGGGGCTTAATACATTGAATTGTGAGCACCAGTTGAAGAGGGGGCGATGAAATAACAAGACGACTTTTTCCAAATGTAAATAAACTTTTCAGCTTTATTTTCCGTTTTTTCTCATGCTTCAGTCAATATGTAATTTACTATGGCATCGAAAGCGTGTATACGACTGTATGTGTGCACTGTGCGGGTGAACGAATATTGCCTTTGAGCGGTCACCATAAAAATGAAATCTTTTCCAGTTTTTACGATAACGTAATGAAAAACACACCAAATTGTCCCCAACGAACACGAACGAAGGAGGAAAAAAATAATATTACAAATGAGATAAATTAAAACAATCGATCGTCGCGCTGTATTTTGGATTTTAATAACCCCTTCATTTTGATGGCTGTAGTTTTTCCGAGTTTAAATAACTCTTTCTTTCATTCATTCCCTTCGTCTCTCGCTCCCTATCTTCGTCTTTCTCTCACTCTCATTCCAATTTGTATGACAAAAATATTGTTGGCAAATGTGTAAAAGGGGTCAAGCACCGATTCAGTGTACCAATGAATCAAATCGAGGGATAGAATGACAAAACTTTGGCTGTAATACGTAAATTACTTGTATCAAAGAGGCTCCACGGTTGTACAATTTTCCAACTTGTTTTCCATTTGGCCCTTTATATTTAATCAAGACATACCAGCATACCGAATACCGATATGGATAAAGTTTTCTTTCAAATCAATTAATAAATTCGATTCGATTGACAAGTCGAATTTTCCATTGAATGCCGTCATTTTGTGAAGGAGTTGAAGATTGTTAACATCCGTAACGACTACACGATGAAAGAAAAAGAAACAAAGCATACACGCAAAAAAAAAAAATTGAATGTTGATAAACATAAATTAATTATGAAGTAGAGAGCTGTTTGCATAGCATAGCAGATAATTTACATTCCGCCCAAGGCATAATTCCTTAGGTTTGCATAGCAGCGTAACAGCGCTAGAATCTATCCACATGGCATAGTTCTCATGGTTGTGTCATGAGAGCGCGGAAATATGGGCTGCCGCATAAAATGATAGATAAGCCATTTAGAAAAGTTTTTCTATTACCCAACAAACTATGTCTATTTTTAAATGAATTTGGATAAATATTTTCAGCGTTTTTTTTTCTTTGGTTATTTTTAAACGCAACAACAAAAAAAGCAAGAGTCCAAGTGTCGGAATGCACATCACAGAAATGTACGAGTATGTCTCTGTGAACCTGATGATGATGTGTGACGGTTAGCAATAAATTTTGCTGTTTTCACTCGAATTCCCTCAAAAAAAAAATTCCTGTTTCTTCTTTTGCGTGTTTCTTCGTCTACTTGGTGATTGTTTGATGTTGTACTGTGTTATCTCTAGTTTGGAGTGTGTGTCGTGCGTTTTTTTGGCATTTGACGCATTTGTGTTCGACCACAAAACAAATTATTGTTTGAAATGAAGCGACAATTGTGTGCGGAGCTGTCAACTTAATTCGGTCGATTTAGCAAAAAAAAAAAAAACGTTCGAATGCTATATTTCAGACTCAATTAATTATGTTTCTTTTTTCTTTCGTTCTAATCTTTTTTTTTCTTCTTCTCAAAAGTGTCTATTTTCCTGTATTCTATCAAGCAGGTGCTTGGCACACAATCATCATTTCGCTAGCATGTGAATGATTCTTTACTATTTTTCATTCAGACATTTTCGTTGATATTGTTTGTTTGTTTGTTTTTTTTTCCTGTCTTCGCTTGAACATGCAAAGACACCACGTGAATAAATATTTGCACTGTAATTAAATTATTGCTCCAATTAGATAAATGTCTAATATAACGTAAATTTGGTACGATTTGTGAATTCTCCATTTCAATTTGAATACAGTGCTGTGCATTGCATATATGTCGTATGTTCGAGTAACGGCAGTCGATTTCAATTTTACAATCTTTTTCTTTTATCGCAGAATTATTTTAATACTTTTGTTTGTTGGCACCTAAAAATATACATTATTCACACCTAATTTTGTTGTTTTTGTTTTTCATTTCATTCGGCTTGCGGTAGTGATCTAGGTTTATTGTTGCAACATTAAAATTCGTAACAATAATTTTAGCAGTAAATTGTCACTAGTTAGCGATTCGTTTACCAAATTCCAAGAACAAGAATACGCATGCATGCTCACACAGGAAAAAAAAAATTATGAACTAACCCCGCCATTGTCAATTTGTTCAAGGAAATTTGGTTGTTGTTTTGTGCCATACCGTAATTTACATGCTTGCACTACGTCTTGTGTGTGTGTACAACGCTGTTTTTCGGGCTTCGGTTGTTGTTTCACTTTTTTTTTATTGCGAATTTAGTGTAGATAAGTTTACATTTTCGCCAAAAAAAAAAACAACATTGATCACTGACCCAAATCGACTTTCTTCATGCGTCGGCTTCTTCTCAGCTGTATGAATTGCGTCATCCCGCCGCGCTATATTCATGTAAACACTGGGATTTCGAGAATTAGAATGAACCATACAACAAATGATATTGCGTTTGCAATTTAAACTCCCTCTTCATCTGCCTGTATTTTTTTTCAACCGTTACTTTCATTCTAAATTGGCGATTTGCACATGGAAATTTTTCCCAAGGAATTGGCTTGATTAGACATACTGACTCATGATTTCAATTTTGCGAACCAAAACAGAAAAAAGGAAATAACGAAAACAAGAATAACAAAAACAGACCGCAAAAATGTAAACGAATGAAATTTTTCACAAATTTTTGTGCGTCCAAGCGCACGCATCTTTTCGCATCAATCAAAATACTGTTCAGTATTTACTCGGCATACGGAAGTTAGCTAGTTTATGAACTATAAAAAAGGCATTTGATGAGCTCATCAACCGGATATAATTGAATTTGTGAAAATATGCCGGGCACGCATTGAACATTGACGCAGACAGATAGATCTTTGTTTATCTGGAACACCGAATATAAGAAAAAGGGAAATAAACGGGTTCCAATAATATACTGAGCCGAGTTCATCTAAAACGCCAAATATTCCACATCGTGAATGCAATACATGTATCCATTTGGATCGGCAAAGCCGACTTATCATTTTATCAATCGATTAGTTATACAGATGTAAAGTGTTTCGGAATGGAGTGCGAAGAAATGAGCCAACATTTAACATTCCGAAGGGTTCATTTTGTCGATTCAATGAAATACCCTCAGTATGAGATATCATTTCGATGCGATTGAAACCAATACCAACTGGATATGGAATGAGAATTCGCAGGTTCGTGTGTTCCTATTCGCAATTGAATTCATTCATTCGCTGTGCGATGAAGAAATTGGTATGCAAGGCGTGCATCCATTAAACTTCATTGCACATCAAATGGGGTATTCTCTGGGGCATTTGTGTTCGTTTCCACTCTGGCTCCTCTCTCCCCGTAACCAAACGGCAAATTTCATGATTTTCAAATTAAACAGCTCATTCGAAACGGTGTGGATATGTGTGAAACAATTCGACAAGCAAAACTGAAACAATTATCAAAATTCATCCCCTATGGTTCATCCTCCATCTGGTTTCATACGCTAAAAAAACATCATCATTTCAGAGATTGAGCTAAAAGTTTGTGTATTGTGATTTTTAGCGTGCACCTCTATCACGTGCTCAACAAGATAGTTTAAAAATCAAAAATGATGACTAGGCACCTGTATACACCGAAACGTATCCAATTTTTCCAGCAATCCAATAACACCGACTGAGACTACTGATTTTCCCAACTTCGTTGAAAATTTTAAATTAAATTTTCGGTTGTAGTGGCTGCTTTGGAATGGAGAGATTGGAGGAAAAAACACGGAATATTTTCGCTCCTCGAAACAACTGTGTGTGTGTGTGCGATGTTTGTGTAAATGCGACATTTGCGTTCGTACGAATATAAATAAGTCGGTCCCATGGGATTCACACGCAATATGATGTAGCGAATTGTATATGCAAGTAATCCAAACACACACGCACACCGTGACTTCTTGAACTGTACATTTTCATTGACTGTCGGCTGTCATGTAACTAAAGTCTTGAACAATATACGGCGGCATTGCATTGCGTATGGTTGACTACGCCATGTTCAAACACTTGTGCCACCTCATAACATGGCTTAAATGGTATTACTATCATAAACATTTTGTCAAATCAATGTTTAGCATTTTCGGTTCGCGTGATGGGGCCAAACAAGACAAACAAACCATTTCCTGCACTTTACCGCCTTCAAAACGGAACTTAAATAGCAATAACTTTCCTCCTCAAACACTCCTCGATTGAAGCATATTTTGAACTGATTGTACCGCTGGGAAATGTTGAAGTCAATTACAAATCAGAAATGTTTTACATTTTTCTTTCAAATGAAGTTACACACTTTTAATGCATTTAAATAGATCGATTTTAATTCGTTTTTGGAGGCATCCTATTAGTCTTATGGATTGTACGGATCTTATTGACTGCATTTGGTACAGACTTTCTATCGAGCAATAGATGACAGCAACAAACAACCGCACCGGGATAGAAATGTCACGATGCCACTTGTTGTCTTGGCATTGAGCTCAACTTTTGTACTAGTAGTTTATAATTGTTATGATATTAAAAAGAGAATATTTTGAATTGTATTATGGTGTTTGTCGATGATATGCATTTATTATTTCGGATAATCTCACTGCAGTGAATTCATTCACAAGTGCTATTCATAAATAGCAAGTTATTAAACGTCCAGTGTGAAACTTTCATTTGTTGTTTGAATTCTGTCAATGTCTTCAGTTTATGTTGTAAGTCGATGATTGCTACAAACGATAAATCTTTTACACTTTCGTCCAAAAAGACAACACCTTATCATCTCCAATAACAATAACAATGTAGATTGTAGAATACAGTCGGTAATAACTGTCTTTAATAGAGTTGGAACACCTTTTCGTAACAAAATTCCTATTTGGCATCGATTCATCTAACTCTCCCACTAAAACTACTTCATAGAGTACAATATTCATCATTCAAAATAGCGTATCAAAATCACTGTTCACAATGGTTCGTTGAAAGTTTCTCTTTCTTTAATGTGATTTGCATACATTCTGGCGTTTGAGTTTTTCACACAAACATAAAATAGTAGTAAAATAAAATTCGTTTGCTCCAAACAAAAAATAGCTCATTTAGGGTAATGCACATGGTGCGGCTGTTGACACTATATTTTCCTATATTTCGAATTGGCGCGTTCCGATTTGAAATGTTAAATTACATTGATGTGCCCTTTAAAATTTGGGGTGGTCGCGTCGCCTCAAATGACTTTGACGTTCAACAGCCGCCACACGGTAATGCATAAGTCAAAATCTTTCCAAGATTGAACCTATTATAAATTTAGGTCCCAATCAATTGCCAAAAAACAAAAGGTTTGCAATCGATCTGTTCGAAGAAGAATAAGATGAAAAATAAACAATTTCTTGGTGAACGCCTCAAGTGGTTTTCGACAGTTATGTTTGGTTGTTAAGCACCTCATCCAATCCTTTCAAATGAATAATAATTAATTCAATAAAACAAGTCGTGTTTTTTTTTATTACAAATAATCTTTTTTTTTCGCAATTTATTTCTGTTTTCTAAATTAAATGTAAATTAAATAATACATGATATTTCTTAACTAAGACTATTCAACATACACAAAAGGGGATATCATCAAAAAAAGGTAGAAAAATACAGAATTGCTTTATGTACGTATAAAAAAGAAATTTCAAAAAATTTAGATATACTCCTTTATTTTGTTTAAAAAAAAGATTTTGTTTTTTTTTCCTTACTCGTTTTGTATGGTTTTTGTTCGTCATTTGGACGATGGCAATAACAAAATGTTGATAATTTTAGCGTTTCGTGTTTTTTTTCTGGATTTGTTCTGTTTTTTTAGAAAAGAAGAAAATTCTATGTTCTTGATTATCGTTATCTCAGTTCGTTTTGTATAATGTTATGTTTTTTTTTCTCTTTATCATGCATTTGTTACCTAATAATTTAATTACAAATTATATAATTAAATTATAGTACTTTCCTCGATTTAAGTAATAATCTGGCATTGCTACTTCTTCCTTCCTCATTTGATTCCGCTTGTTTGATTGATTCGTTGGTGTGATGACAATTACTAATTTTATAGTCTAAATTGCAAGTAAAGCTGAAAAATTTGCGTGTTTGTGTGTTGTGAAAATATGTGCATTGCGATTGACGCAAACCGGATACGAATCTCATCAATTGGATTCGATCGCTTTTGACGCCTTTTTTATGGGAGAGTTTTTTTTAAATATAGATAAAATTGGTTTTGTTTTTATAATGAGTATGTTCGCTCGATGAAAATTTGCTACGACTTCTTTTAAACTTATTGGGGGTGGGGTGGCAAATACTTCTTCAATCCACGTGTAGTCGATGGTGATGGCGATGTCAATGCACCGCTGCGATTAGAATTGAGAGGAAGAGATTTTTGTGCGCTGCCGCCCTTGATGAAATCAACATCCATCTTTGTGAATTTCATGACTTGATTTGGTCCACAACCCGATTCAGTTGACAAGATACCCTTCAACAAGTAGCGTCCGTTGCCACGTGTACAAGCCAAAGCGCTACCATTGTCAACATCACATGGGTTTCCTTGGGCACGACCACAAACAGCTGAATTTGGATTGAACGATCCCAATGAAGACTCACATTCGTCAGCGGACAGTGGGTTGATTGCAAGTGAATGAGGTAGTGATCCGGCGATGTGGTCTGTAACGAATGCAAAGAATGGATTTGGAAAATTTAGAAAATAATGATGAAATAGTTGTACTTACATTTGATTTGTTCTTTGCCCCAACCAGAGGTGACACATTCTTCATCTGAACCTGTTGGTTCCAATTCAGATTCGTCAAGGCAAATTTGCCCAATGTGTTGATCGTATTTCAATGGGTTTTCCAAGTGCAAGAGAGCCACATCGCTTTCCAAATTGGTTGGTTGGTATGCTGGGTGCATTGTGATTGCCTTAACTCGAACAGTTTGGAATGGTTTTGGTTCTTCGGTGCTACCCAATTTCCATTCACCACCTTTGATCAAAACATCATGTGTACGAAGTCCCTCAACACAATGGGCGGCGGTTGCAACAAGAGTTGGTTCAATAATAGCTCCACCTGAGAAACCATCACAAGCAAACACGATTAGTATGGCACTTATTGTCATTTCAAGATCGCTTATTAAACGAAAAAAAAACGACACGCAGCACTCTAGGCGAGGGACACTCAAAACACTCATCGTACATATATTGAGCGGGCACTATCGATGCGTTCATTTGTGTGAGTGCGATTGTGTAAACGACAATTCGTGTTCAATATGTGTACGATGACAGCTTCGAGCATTCCACGCGTAGAGGCGTCTTACGTCAAATCTTTCCAATGTATTTGTATACGAAGAAAGCGACCTTGGTCATTTCAACGAATCATGATAAAAATTAATTTACCGCATAGGATTGTTTTGGTTGATTCTCTCAAGATCATTGCTTGCCATGGGAATTCTCCAAAAGCGGCTTCGTTTGGTCCATTTCCACGTGGCAATCCAGTCTGTTGAATTGAAAAGTATGCGTTTGGTGGATAGTTCGAAACTGACAAGAAAAATTGTAGCCGCTGAAGTATACTTACTTGATCACGAACGGCGCAAACACCCAATTGGTTTGCACGGAATGGACTGGCTGGTGTTTTTGGTTGTGGTGGCTGTTGTTGTGGTTGGAAACCTTGAGGTTGGAATGTTTGAGGTTGGAACGTCTGAGGTTGTTGTGTTTGGAATTGTTGGCTTACCTAAAAATAAAATGGTCATATGGTTTGGTTAAATTTATGATTCGCTGCAAATATGAGGGTGGTCTAGAAACGGATATGTTAGATTTGGTTAAAACAAAAAAAAAGTGTTGCGTGTCGGCAACACGAATTCGATATTCGAAAATTTTACCGGTGATGGCGTTGGGAAGTCTACTGTCGTAGCAATGGTTTCTTGAATGGTCGAAGCTTGAGCGAGCGGCGGAGAAGAGAATGCCTGTTGATTTAGAGGAACGAATTGTGGTGGCTGTTGGGGTTGGTTCTGTTGCGGCGTGTTAAACTGAGAGGGAGGATTGAATGTTTGTTGTTTTGGTTGGAAATTAAAGGGATTTGGCGACGTTGGTTGCTGTGAAACAGAGGTTTTTATTGGTTGGTTATTGTACGTGATTGCGTTTGTAATGAAAGGTGCATTTGTGTATTGTTTGGTTTGTTGGCTAGATGCAGTAAATGGATTGATTGGATTGATTGGGCTTTTCAGTGCTTCACCTCTTTTCTTATTGAGTCCATTGCCATTTGTTGGTCGGTATTGTCCATCGTCGAAAGCTTGAGCTAGGACATTTGCATCGAATGCGCCAGTTCGCAAAAGGTTGGTTGGCCATGGATCGGTGTAGTTAAGATCGCGACAGCAGACACCTTGTTGGATGCCTTTTGATTCATCGCGGCATGGGCTCAATGGTACGCGGTAGGTTTCTTGTTCCTTGGTCAAACTGACTGGTGAAGATTGGAGTGTTCCATCAGCGGCACAGAATTGGATATCGGTACAGTTAGTGGCAGCTGGACAAGCGGTTGGTGGCAATTGTGGGGCCAGATCTTGTTGAACTTGTGGTGGACGAACTTGTGGTGGACCAACTTGTGGTGGACGAACTTGTGGTGGACGAACTTGTGGTGGACGAACAACTGATGGGTTGTTGTTGGTATTGTCTGGAATTTCTGGTGATTTGTCTTCTTCGTGTTGTAATGGTGGCAAGTATGCGCCGGTCGGGTTGCTTGGTTGTGGAACTTCATTGTCACGTGGTGGAAGGTATTGGTTGTTAACTGGACGCTTGGTAATCACTGGACGTGGGGTGGTTGGGCTAGTTTGGTATGAGACAACGGTAACACTTGGATTTGGTCTTGGTTCTTCTGGAACACGGCAGCACACTTCTGGGGCCAAACATTGCGAAGCCTAAATACAAATGGGCGAAGAGAAGAAAAAAAAATCATTGGTTAAAACAAGGTTTAGTACAAGCTTATGTCAATACAAATATGTGAATGACAGTAAATTAATTTCCATATTTTATGTCATAACAGTGGGAGAAGAATAGTCGCGACGGAACACATAATACATTCGGAGCGAGAAAAAAAAGTGTTAATCTCTTCCATTCTGCCGGAGTGAGTGAGATTAAAATCACAATATCAATACTCCTGTAACCTTGCGAATAAAATCGAAAATGAATGAATATTCCATTAACACCACCAAAATGCTCGTGCATTGTGTATATCTCATCAATGACTGTCTCACACTGTGCGCGAAGTCTGCATGCCAGCTATTCAATTAATTCAAAAGTCAATGACGCATTTATCAATATATTCAACATTTGCATTTTATTTAGCAGCGTCAGCATCACAATCGCGGACCGATTTTGTGTGCACAAGCGAAACACACGAAAACTATGCTACTTCAATTTTTTGCATCAAATCATCACAGCAACGAAAGTTGGCGACCCACTTATTGTTACGATAACAATGTTGTAGTGTGCATGTGTATGTATGTGTGTTATTGACTTAGATCTTAACAATAGATGCGAATGCCCGAATTTCAATCGAAATGATTGTTTTCTTACCATTTTGGATAAAGTTTGTTTCTTTGCCTGCGCTGCATAAATTATCATGTTTTATTCAAGAAGGCTTTGTGACCTTATCAATGTGAAGAAACATTTTAAAGCCTAAAAAATCCAATAATATATCCTGAACACGAAATGATATGCTGATTTGATGGGATTAATCGTGGATTTTTCTTATAAACTCCCTGAGACTGTTCGATGAACTCTTGATTGATGTCATTTGTTTGGATTCATATTTCCAGACTTGAATCAAATCGAAACATCGTTTCAGGACTCTCTCACGTAAAGAGTTTCTTTTTTCCGCTTGCTCGTCAGCAACCAATTCCCATGCAAACGCACGAAACTCATGTTAATCGATTTCCCAATCTAAATCGAATAAATTTACCGCATCGTAAAATGTTAAATATGAACTCAATACAATTCATTCATTCCAGCCAGCTATCCAGCCAAGCCGGGCCAAACAAATGAACAGTGCATATTTGAACTTTTAATATTGACGAGTATGGGTTGTTGGTCGTTGATTCTGGCTGAATTGTAACGGATCGTAGCACAAATTCACACACTTATCACTCGATGGCATTAATTAATTTTTATTTGATTTGATTTGCATTTTCGTCTTTGTCAACCGCAAGTTGTGGTCCAAAACGAACCGAAATCAATTTCGTATGTGAAACAAAAGCGAAAATAATGAGATAATTATCATAAAAAGCAATAACGGGTCACAACAATTCGATCGGTTGTGTGCCAAAACGAATCAGTCATCATGCAATGTCAGATTGGTGTGGCGACTCTATGCATGCAATGGCAAAACACATCCCATCGCATCGCATCACATCAGTGGAATACGCTGCCTGCCTGCCTGCCTGGCTGGCTTTAATCGCTGTGCATGGCCGTGTGCGCTTGAGGAGAAAGAATAATTTACTATTTGGGGCTATGCAGCATAGCGTGCTCGATGACCTTTTTATATGCTGCATTTTACATACGGAGCACACATCTATATGCGCTTCATGTTGGATGTATCGTTGTGTGTCTTACGATCACATGATATGCGTAAACTGCGATCATTAGCATGTACTTCAATGCACACCAATTATCAACGAAATGGCATTTTGTGAGTGCTGTTCGGCTTAGGCGCGCGTATTCCAGTTTTACGGCGATTTTCTTTATGTAATACACCACAATGTATCGGCAGTTCATTGGCGAAGTGATAGGCGTGTGCATAGATTTATCACGGTGTAAATCGCGCTTTTCACCTTTCACATTCAAATGAGTGATGGACTTTGTGGCATATAAGTGGTGATTGAATGCATACACACACATGCGAGCACAAGTAGCACGGAGCCGAGTAGAAAAAAAGGGTTCTATGCAAATCGTATTTGAACTTTGAAGGTTAGCCTTTACAAATGCACACAAGCAATAATGCTTAATTTGATGAATGGCTGCGCAAAAGGTGTTGAAAAAACAAAATGCAACGATTGTTTTGCATCAATTTGCCACCTCTTGCTGTCTACTGAAGAGGTGTGCACGAAAAGACTAGGAAAAAAAGCGTACAGAAATACAAAATGCCTAGGCTCATACATATATGATGAGAAAATATTCGCATTATTATTATTATTTAAAGTGTTCGTCGTTTCGCGAACAAAAGAAGACAAAAACCTACAACGACACACACACACGTAGCGAACATATTTGAAATTTATGAATATTTTTTGGTGTTATCTAAATTGATCGCGCTTTAAATGGTCTGTGAATAAAGATATAATGCGGCCCAGTCTCGTGTTTAATTAATTAGAACAAGTTTTCGAGAAGCTTAAATAAAATTAATCGGATTGCTTTTTGTTGCTTTTGTGGTTGGTTTTGTGTGTATGTGTGCGTTTTTTCCGGTTGTAATAATTATTATAATTATGAATTTGATTTGGCGTTTTTAGCTCTATATTTTGGTCATTTTGAGTGCGACTACTGTGGCTTTTTGTTATTTTTGTTATTCGGTTGCTAATTGAATGTCAAGCCGAAAATGTTTCAATCGTGAAAGGAATGCACTGCTGTAGACTTTTGAAGAATTAATCGCAAACATTCCAACGCTTGACATTCTGAACACCATCAGCAATTATTTTATCTAGTCATCCGCTGGTGAGAACCATTCGCATGCAAACAAATATCGCAAAAGTCTCAAAATAATGCATGAAGTCTGTTCTCATTCTAACTGTCGCACTTTGTCATCTTCAATGTTTATTTTACGGTCGTTTTTTTTATTCATCTTCATCTCCATCGTGGCCGTCATTGTCTATTCATGCAAATATCTAGCGGGCTGCACACATGCTTGTGTGCATGTGATTGAGCGTGTATATTTGAATGTCGTAATCGAATCATCGCATGGTGTACTCGCTGAGCCACTGATTTAAATAAGCTTCAGTGTGAAAATAGGTTACACAGACGGTGACATTATAAATAAAGTTAAAATAAGAAGCATGGAAAAGATGAGAAACAATTTTTGTGTTGCACCGCATGCATTTTGTTAAGAGAAGCGAAAGAAAAAGGTCCATCTCATGTGGCATGAACACATTGGCGGCAAAGTTAAGCGCGCTGTAGCCACATTTCCTACTTTATTGAGATTTTATCTAATTATCTGTAAGTCATGATTTAACACACACAAAGCGGCAAAAACCGACAGTAGACATAGACAATGGCATTATTGATGACGCACATGGTGAACAGTGAGAGAGCCGACTGCATTATTGACCATAGTTGTGAGGTGTGTGTGTGTGTGTGTGTGTGTGTGCAAGCGCGTGAGCGATCACAGAAACACGAAACCAATATGACCTGGCTCGGATCGGCTCGACTGTGAGAGAGCTATCGGCTATGGTGGGCTGAATGAGTGAAGCGCCAGTTTTAAATTCGAAACAAAAATAACACATTTCCCCTTCGAAATGGTGAATGATAAAATGTAAAAAGTCAAATGTAAAACATACAGCGCCAACAGTACACAACACTTTTGCGTACAATTTACAGAATTGTGTCTGGTAAATTGTTATTGCAAAAGCGTCTAATAAATAGCATTTGGCCAAGTTGCATATGGAATTTGAAGATGTGTCCACCGAATCTTGCACCAAATACAAAGTGGTTTGCTTTTTTTTATTTCTCTATCTCTTTCTCTCAGTTTGGCTGCTTTTCCACACTCGATGGCCAGAACGACGAAACACATCACAGCAGCAGCAGCAGCAGCAGCAGCAGCAGCAGCAGCAGCAAACATTTTCAAACGGCGTCTTGTGAAATGCTTCTTCGATTAAAGTGGATTGCGGTAAAATCGTTTAATTAAAACCGACACTTTTATTATCGTCAGCTATTATTTATTCATTTATACATATGGAAAGAGGCCCGCGTTCGATTTCCACACAACAAGAGCTACAAAATGCATCTTATATAATGGCGACGAAGGCACATCGCCTTAGACATGCACCGACACCAGAATGCACACAACAATCGGTGTCATCGGCATATTTTGCATTTGTTTGCTTATTTTCTTTTTGTGAAAGAAAATTTATGAATAAAAAAAATCGTATTTCCCGTTTCGGTCAAAATTCAGATCTGAATTTGGTGCGTAGTCACTTTGTGGAACGAACAAAAACAAATGCCGAATGCAGTGTGGCCCGATTGCAACTGGGTGGGTTACCAAACAACAATTGCTAGATGCGTGGTTAAATAATGCGCGGTTTCAATGTCAGGCTGTGTCATTGCAATATTTCACGAGTTATTCTATCTTGTTTCGTGAGAAGCTGCGTGTTGCGGAAATTCCAATGAATTCGAGTGAAAAATAAAACGTTCCGACTAAAAGATTGCAGCACCGTGAATGGAATGTGATTCATTGTGCAATTAAATGTACGGAGCGACAAAGCATGATTTGACGATTTCATTCTGATTTCATTTATTGATTATTCTGAAAATGTATTCATTTGTGTAGGATCACAATGTGAGTGTGTGTGAGTGTACGAGCGCGCAAACAAATGACTAAGTCAATGGCACGAGCAGACAACAGACACATTCGATTAAATCATCAGGTAAAAATGTAATTTCAATGCAATGTCGTCTGCCTCCGAATCTCTCGCATATACATGTAGTAGGTTTGAACAGTCGATTCACTGTTCAAAAGAAGAAAAACAGATTTAACCGATGAATTTATTGCAATTAAACCGCAAACATAATAATTCTTTTCTTTTTATTAATGAATAATTGTGGTAAATTAACATGACAACTGGCCCACTCATCTTCATATAATTATTATTGTCACATTGCATTTTAAATCGAAAACTCCGCCTTTTTTCGTTTCAATTTGGGCAATTTCGTAGCAGATCGATCTCGAACCATTGTTGCCAATATGATAAAGCAACTTGATAATGCATGACATTTGAAGTTTCCGTTTGTTATCAAACTCTCATCGGATATTAAATACAGCAAAAAATGATAATAATATCAAAATTCAAGCGGTTTTAGACAGAAGTGCGCTTTAGAGAGAGAGAATGAACTCTCAAACAAACGTTCACTCGATGCGGGATGTAGCCCAAACATATGCTTACGATTGATTGATTTTTTGTTTATTTTTTATTTTTTATTTCTCTCTTTCTCTCTCTCTCTCCCCCCGTTTGCTTCGACGCATTATGTAATTCCCCTTTCACAACATACACAACACAGTAGTAGTACTTTTGCGTGCGCCAGTTATCTGTTTGTCTGGATGATTCGACATTATCGAATTATGTTGTGTCGGATTACAAGCATAACATTACTTGTATAATATTCAATGGATGTTGCACCACATTTTTGGCCTCAGTGAGTTATCGATGTTGGTGCTTTTGACCGCATGAACTAAAAGGAACCGTTTCAGTTTCCGTGAAGCGACACAAACAAACAAATTGTTGGATAATGTGTTTTCTTTTCTTTGCAAAATAATTTGCAATGCTTATCTATACATGCAGACCCGCATTCACGATTAGTTGACATGCGGAGTGAAGCCAAAAAAAAGACAACAACATATTTGGGATTATGTGATGGAAGAAATGTATTGTGATGACATTTGGAAGAGTGTCTTATTGAAATTTTATCGATGTTTTCATTCAATTTTTAGCTGCGCATCACATTTCGATTATTGCATGCGATTGAACATCAGGAAAATATTCGACAGTCTTACGCAAGTGTCAATGGAACGTTCAATCAAATAACATAATCCATGTTAATTATTCGGCTTGTCACTTTCTTGGAATGTTCAGCACTTGGTATGCTATCACTATGCGATATTTGGTGACTTTGCAGAATGAAGCTTTTTTTTCCAAAGTCCACAATAGGCCATTCCAATGCCGATACACATAAAACTATATAAATCTATTCAAATCAGGTTCGCCTCTTTCATGAAGTCTATTCCAAGAAAATTATTGTTTTTGCATGGAAACACACGGAGGTTTTCTGAATTAAGAATATATTTATTTTTTTCTTCAGTTTTGGAAAAAATATCACGATTACCGCTTCTATGCCTTCATTCATCGATGCCAAGGAATAAGAATCAAAACAAGCGAACCAGAGAATTTATTATCCAGTTGAAATAGCTCGCCATAATACACAATCAATTTAAACTGGAAAATCATAAATATTCAAAACCATTGAACTTGATTTGTTTTTGCATACAAAATTTACAAAGAAAAAAAAACGAGAATTCGCCATTCAATATTTTAAACTGGAACATGTGTATCGTAATCGTATGTATATGAACTCATATTATTTATTATAAACACATTGCGTCATATTGTCTACTTTGATTCGAATATCATTTTTGAGGAAAACGAAAAAGAAGGAGAAAAAAAACACACATCGCATCGAGTGAGTGATAGCAACACCTTAGTGGCAGTAAGCACCGAGAGCGACTTTCCGTTTAAAGGCGTTCTGTATCGTTGACTATGTCTTTTTCTTTAATCATATCATAAAAATGAATCTTTACCAATACGGAAATCGAGAATGGATTAAATAAACAAAAGTTTTATTGGCTAATCGACCTTTTCGATCAGATTCTCATTTGAATTTGGTATAATTTTTTTTGCTACGTCTCTTAACACCAAAACGGAGATTTGACTATGGTTTTTTTTCTCGTTCGCATCACATTTCAATACTTGGAGTGTTCGAGTAAAGTACAGATAAACCTTAGCACTAGCAATCTGTGCCATTTTTCATAAGGCGTCTCCACTCGCATTGAGTTTGTATTGTAAATGTTAAGGTGCGTGCAACGCCCTTCAATGTAAAAAGCAATACAAGTGGAGATGATACACGGGATTTATCTGTACTTTTTGCATAATGGAAAAAATGACCATATTTTGGTGCTATTTAAGTTGTCATCATTTTAATTTGGCTTTAATCATCCTTTTGTTTTATTACGATTCGTCTTATTGTTTTTCGATCGGATGCTTGGCGTGCAGACAATTTTCACTAACTTTCGTTAAATAAATGGATGCTGTTGACACATCGATTTGAAATTATAAAATTTCGAAATTAACGATTATTGTCATAATTGGCAATTACATGGGCTGTTACAAGCGATGAGAATAGATTTTTAAACGGCAAACATGGCAAAATGGCTATAGTCACCCACACAGAAATCACCAACACTTTGCGTCAAACATCAACCAAATGTCGTTTGTGATTAAGCATTTGTGTGGTGGAAAAAAAAAAGAGTCGCACAGCTCAAAATGATACAGTGAACGAAAGTAGTATAACATCAAAAAGGAATCAGTAAAATATGCAAACGACTTATTGTCTGGCTTATCAGAGATAACCGACATTGATAGCAGAAACGGGTGTGATGCACGCCAGTGCAGAATGCGATTTCCACACGTAAAAACACGACGATAGTGTGAATATCAGATAAACCGGAACCCGATAACATCTACATCAATTCCACTTTTGCATCGTTGTTCGACATTCATTCGTCTACGATAGAGTCGAATCCAAAGAAGAAAAAAAAAACTACCAAAAAGCATCCATTTTTTTATGTGTGATTATTTGATTCAAGTCTGGATTTTCGAATCGCTATCATAGATATTTGGTTTATACTTTCATATTTATGATGTGGTGACATCATATAGAATCATAATAACTGCATAAAAGTGTGTAAAATATTCACAAACTTGACGCTAAGCTAGACAGCCACGACGAAGACGGCTTAGACAGCTCAGCCAAAAATAGATGAATTTATAATTTTTCTTTTTCTATGTCTTTCGTCGGTCTCTTTCTCTCCGTTTGTATCTCTCTATAGCTTTATGAAATCTCATAAAAATGTGGAATATTGTAGCAATAATAAAACACAAATGGAGATATTATCTTGATTAGGCGAGAAAGCCTTCGAAGATGTTGAGACTGATCGTCGGTGTGCGTGAAATGTGTGAGTTATTATAGTTCACATGATATTTTTTTCTTCTTCTTCTTCTTATTTTCATATGGTTTATAGACTTTGAAATATGTTTAAAACATGTAAATGGCCTAGACCTTGAGAGCGCATCGTATTTTTTTTATTCTGTTGACAGTGGAGCCTCAATATTATACATCATAAAACGGCGACGATATTAAACGTCTCATTAATATTCGCGCGATGAAAAAATATGGAAAAAGAAGAACAAGAAGAAGAAGTGAGTGAAAAAATCGTCGCAGGATTTTTCTTCCGCTATCTATGCATATGATTGTTGCACGAATCCGAAGTCGGTAATTTATTTGTGTGGACAAGTCGAATGTTAAAAATGCGTACGAATTAATTTAATAGCACAAAAGCGAAACAGTCATAATCAAAATGGGTCTCGATTCGATTCAAATCAATGATGTCAATTTTTTGTGTTAAATTTTAGTCTCTCTTCCGGCACGACATTGTGCGGCACGATATTGTGCGAATAATTAACAACAATGTGGCTTTAATGTGTGGTTGTGAAATGGAAGTGGAGATAAAAACACGCCGTATATATAGAAGATGACACACTCGCGGATACCACACACACAACATCAAATGGTAATGACGGCAGTCTCTTTTTTGCGCACTCGCATTCGCGCTTGTTCGCATGTTGTCCTCAACGCCGTTTCACTGACCAGTTTGCCAATGGATGACCAACGTGTATTTGTGTATGATAACATCCGGGTATTTGAATTGAAGGACACAATTATTATAATTATAGGTATTAAAAACAAATAAAGCAAAGTGACACGCTGAAGCCACTCTTCAATTATATGAGATTAACTGTCTATCGCAATTGTTGCGGCGCATTTTGAACAGGATTCGCTAAATTCATGCAGATGAATGATGTATAGTGGTTCCTTCTGCGCGGTTTTTTTTTGTTCTCTTTTCATTGCTGTTGGCTAAAAACCATTGAATGAATGACGATATGAAATTCGGTATCTTACCGGTTGACGTGATGCATATGGGCTGTTACGTTGAACTTGTCCGTTGTAGCATTGGTTGGCTGGTACACAGACTTGGTTGCGATCATAGCATGGGGTTGGAAGTTGACGGGCTGGTGTTGGTGGTGGAATGTAGCTGGCACGGGTTGGTGGTTGAGTTGGTGCTGGGGTTGGCACACGGATGGCGCAGCAAGTTTCGGTATCAATGTTACATTGCTGAAATGAAAAGACCAAAACAAAATATGTAAGCAAATTTCGCGCCAGTAGAGCAATAAGTCATTTTATTATAATTATTTCTATGTATACTACGAATACGCCAAAGAAATTCTATTCCCAAAGTTTGTCGGCAATATCAAATACTTTTTTTTTCTTTTTTTCAATAAAATAATTGTCTGTGATCACCCAGTTACATGCAGTTCAACTCGAAAAATTAATGACCGACAATTCATTGAGAGCAGATATGTTTCATCAACCACAAGGGAATCGTTTTATTGGTGACGAACATACACACTTTGCCATCATTCAACGCAAATGGATCAATTAAATGGCAACCACAATATATTTGGGTTTACCGTTGCACGCTTTATGTTTTCGCACAATTTTCGGCAAAAATTATTTCGCATGAATTGTACTCTTCAAATTGAGCATGTGCATTTGCAACAAAATGAAGCAAAAGAATGAAAAAAAAACCGAAAAATCCGAAGAAAAAATAACAATCGAAATGTGTTTTATGTGCACAGAGAGTGTAAAAAAGAAACAAATGAGCAGTGAAAGAGTTGGCGAACATTTGTTGTTATTCAATCTCGTCTCATTCGTGATAATTTTATTACTTGCTCTTTTAACACTTATCACTTGTGTGAATGTTTACTAAAGAGAAGAAAAAAAAAAAGATTGGTAAAACACGTGCTAAATTTAGAATTAATCACGTTTTTTAATTATACAAACACACTGACAGATTACGAATCAAATTAAACGAATATAAAAAAAACGTTAGCCACAAAATATCGTCGATTGACCTTTGAATATATACTGAATATATTTATAAAATTCACATTTATGATCGGCACCCTCTTCGCATGGATTAGAGACAAACAATAGGAAGTTACATAAAACGTGCGAACTCGTTGAATGAATGTTCGTCTCCTTTCGATTTTTGGCTCCAGTTTTCATTCCAAACCGGGCAGAAAAAAAAGAGTTGCTTTCATTGAAAATGTGCGGCAAGTTTATGGTTATCATGCTTTAGTTTTGGATGCGCCCATGAAGCGCTTCAACCAAAATCCAATGAGATCAAGCTGTTTGACCGATTGATCGTTTTTAGGCTTTCGAATGGCATTCGAAGTGTTGTATGACTTGTGTTGCTTTTATGATAGCGCCATAGAGATCAAGTGGGTAGTCAACGACAAATGGCCCAAGAAAACTCTCTCACTCGCATTATTTCAGTTTATGCTAATAATTAAACTAATTGGGAAATTCTTATAATTTTTACTTGACCCAGAAACAAGCCGAGAAAAAAGCCCTGCACACAATCTTCTTTTGTTTATTTGGTTGGTTGGTTGGTGTGTTGGATTCTGTTTTTGGTGAGTGCACGTTTGCGCACACGCCGACATGCTTTCCATGTGGCCATACCGCTCGATCCGCATGATGTGAGTGCAATGCAGAACAAAAACCATGCGCACATACACACTTAGCGGGCGAGAGTGTGAGAGAGAGAGAGAGAGAGAATGAGACACAAAACACACCACAACCGGCTCTCTGTCGTACTTGAGGCAACAACAGATAAATAAGAGGCGATGTATTTACGAGCGGGCTGATTTTCGTGTGCATAATACAACTATAAATAATATGTAAGGTAAATTCCCATAATTATGTTTTGTAATGAATTCGGTTTATTCATTTCGATGTATTTTTTTGTTGTTGTTGCTGCTGCTGCTGTTTGTCGTTTTTTTTTTCTGCTTCATTCTGTGTCTGTGTGCTTGTGTCTCTGTTGCTCTTGCTCGTCGTCTGCCACATTCGGTTGGTTTCGTTTGGGCATGTTTCATTTTGGATTGTTTTGTTTTCACTTTCTGGTCTTGCAGTGGCATCGCATATATTAAGATGCACACATTAAATTCTAGCATTGTTCAGTGTTTTATGTTCAAACGGTGCGGTATGCATGCAAAATTCGATATTTTTTTCTCTCAAAATGAATTTCGAACGTTGTAGAAGTTTCGAATTGTAAAGTGTGGCCAGAATACGAACAATATTTTGTATGCATTTTTTGTTTGCAGTTCCAATTAATGACGATATTGTATATAAAAAAAGCAAATGCAATAAAGCGATGGCAGCCAATTGGGTAGAAGAAAAAAAAAAATCTAATAAACACGATGACTTTTTGCTTTACACCGGATAATTTCGGATATCAGCGATAAAGTTCACATGATCGCAGCCAATGCAAATTGAAAGGTTGAAAGAAAAAAAAAGAATCCGTTTTAAATAAAAAAATGCCATTAACATTTTTGTTGCCCTTGGTCCGGAGTTGTTCATCGAAGAAAATTCCTTCAAGATCACCAAACAGACCCGCGCGCATTCACGCACACACGTGAAGAGAGAGAGAGAGTATCGTTACTTCATATTTCATTCATGAAAAATTCCTAAGCTTCAGATTATAACCATATTTAATAACCACGTTCATCGGTATATATATATATATATATATGCGACAAGCTAAGTGTGGTCTGTAATTTAATATGATCATGTGTGCGTCATGAACTGATTTGTCCTTATTTCGTATGGCGCAAAACAAAACAAAGCCAACCAACGAAACAGAAGACCGCGACCGAACAGCAGCGACACAGGGCGAACGGAAAAAAAACAACAACAACAACAACAGGCAGAGAGAGAGAGAGAGAGAGAGAAACTCACATCTCTAAAATCGATTACTTAATTTGTTATAAAACTGATGATACATATGAAAGCATCGAACGGCCAAACCAGTTTTTTTTTGGAGTCGAACAGTGGCGGTGACGGTGACGGCGCACAATGATGAAAACGAGTACGTTCCTGTGTAAATCGAGATGCGTTTTCAAGTGGAATCGAAGACACGAATTTTTGAATCGAGGCAATTGAAACAATCAAGGCAATTATTAAAAGCGATATTCTATGAAGCCCGAAAAACCGCAATGCCATTTTCAATACGATTCGAGTAGCACGGCCAAAATGCGAGAGAGGCGCTTCAGCAACATAGTCAAAATCAATTTATTGCATTTGTACACGTGAGGAAATCTCAGAGCAAAGCATAAATCTGTCATGTGTATGTGTTATTTTTCGATTTCTTCTTCTTCAATTCATGTGTCGCATTTTCAATGAAAAACCGTTTGCAGGTGTTTTTTTTTAAGACGAAGAAGAATACACACATGAAATGGATACTTAGTCTCACCGAGTGTCGAATGAATGTGGCATATGGTTTACATTAGAATACCGCAAAACCCATATCGATGGCGTTTATTTGCTTCTTGTATTGTTTGTTCATTGACTTGTTCGTTCGTTCGGAGGTTTGCCTCGGTTAATTAACGGACAATTTGTGAATGTCATGTAAAATTAACGGAAAAAAACATCGGAAAAAAGATGCCAAACGAACAATTTGGAATAGTAAAATAGTGTGTGTTTGACGATTGAAGTCTCCGCAAATGTGTTAAGCGACGCGGCCAGATGTCTTCTGATGACCACAAATGGCTCGGTTTCTGATGTGACCGCATATTGAAATGATTTACATTCAAATGCATGCATTCGCAAAATTTATGTTTCTGTTAAGAACTTAATCATTTTATTATTTCGGTTGATCGGAAAACCATCGATGACGACGGAAACAACAATCAAGACCAAGCCGTTGTATCATAAATTATGTAAAGATAGTTCAGCATATGCAAAAACATTCAGTCCAAATAATGCTCGCTAATTGTGAACACATGTAATAAAACAATTTAGACATTTCAGATAGAACTGGTCAACTGGCAAACAAAATGCTATGAAAATATAGAAAGAAGATATTTGATGAGAAAAAAAGCATCCAACGTGCAATACACGTCACTAAAATATGTACAAACCAATGTATTCCATTCATGCTAATGGATTTTTAGTTGTAAATTATAATATTACATGACAATTTTGTTTTGTGAGCGGATCTATCGCATATCGATGTGATCGGGTGAATATGGTAAATGGTGATCAAAACAACAACAGCGCCAACAACGTCCGATCACAACCCATAAAAACGTAATTCAAATTGACTGATGATCGTAAATATATTGGCATCGGTCAACGGTTAGTTGCACGTTGAACAAATTCCACTCTCAAATGGCGGACAAAAGGGAAAAGGTGATTGTTGCATTTCGAATGTGATTTTCGTTTGGCTTTTGCTTCACCATAACCGCATCACACACACATTGAAAATTGTGTTAAACGAAGGAATTGAATATGGATGTCATAAACTCGGCGCGCGTACACACACACACACACACACATACACACAACAAACAACTGGATCAGCAACATACGTGGTCCGCAGCAGTTCAATTTTAACTACATTGACACAGTGACCCGTGCGCTGTGCGAGTTCAATCGATCATCGATTTCGTTATTCGGACGCGTGTTTTTGTCACACATTTGACGATGATAAATGACATTTTGTGCATGTTTTGATCGACTGTTAGTCGTTGAGTGATGAGCGCACACGCACACGCACACATTCATCAAAAAATGATGAACAAATCAACTTTCAAAGCAACAAATGACATGAATCGTGGTCATACATCATCATCGTCGCCTTTGTCGTCGTCGTCGTCATGGTGTACAATGCGGAGGAAAAAGTACTTCGAAAGTCATTGATATTTGCATACATTGAATCAAGAGAATAATAAGATGAAAAACCAACCAACACCGTCGAATATTAATGAAAATTAACCGATTTTTGTCGATGTTTACGAACAATTTACTAATTGACCACCAAACATAATGGTAATCAAATATGAAATGCCAATTCGATTTAAGCGAGTCCGGCAAAACGAAACACCACACAAACAATGCTTGAGTTTTATTGAAAACAATTTATTTAAATTATTCGACCATAAATAAAATAATTATTAATTGAATGGCGTGTCGAACGATGCTCAATATTTATGTGATTACCAATATGTTCGATTGACAATGTGTGGCGATCGCGCGCAGCCACAGTATGAACGACAAGCGCGCTGCCTATCAATTCACCGAATATACATATTACTCAAGTGTCCTTAAGATTTTTGTGCATTTTGTTTTTCTTTTTTGATCGTTGTTGTTTTGTGTAAAGCAATATTATATAGAATATTGTGCAATGCTGTTGCAAAGCGCATGCAATATCATCCACACACACATACACAAGCACATACGACCGCGACCAAACCGTCTCATCTTGTTGTGTCGTCACTGCTATCAGACTGACCGAATCGTTGTTCGATTTATTGAAAAATTGGAATTTGTTGGTTGTGCTCTGATGGACTTGCTGTGTGCATTCTGTGTACTGTGTTGTTGTTGTTGCTGGTTTTTTTTCGGAGTTTTCATCTTCATCGTCATGAGATGCCGACGATGGATCGGTCTCTCATCGTGGCGGCCCAGAGTAGGAGAGTCGTGTACAACGTGATATGGCGACATATCGAGTTGTTAAGGCATGCCAAACAATCATAAATACACTCTACATTCAATTGCTAATCGCATCGCATCGCATCTCATTTCTTATATTCTTGAATATTCCCTGTTGAAACGTCGGCTACATGCACACATTAATCACCCAGAGACTATGGCCGAATGATAAATTCTCATGGAGATTGGTTCAATGCGCAATATTCCATATTGCAGTTTCATTTTACCGTTATGCTTAGACATACATATGCATTTTTTCCAAGCGCTATCTCTTGCTTCGTTCTGTGCTCTCCGTGAACAGCAATTATTCAGCAAATTCAATAATTTTTGCCGTGTGCTCATGTTCGATGTGATTTTCTCTTTGGTTTACAAATGCAAATTATACCAAGAGCAAATAGTTTTTAACAATTCTTAAGCTGGGCTAGACTATGATTTTGGATCTACTCAAAATCTTTTTGTCTCCAGTAATTGAAATTGGTTGTTGTTTTTTTTTATTCTAGTATTTCGTCGATTTTTATCGCTTCAATTGAGCAAAGTATTGGAAATGAGTACGATAAAGAAAATATAGAGTTGTTCATTGATTCTTTCGACATTAATCTGGATTCCAATCGATTGTGAATATAGACTGGACCATACGGACCGAAAGAAGAAAAAAAAACACACACACACACGATAGAATTATAAAGTCTATAAATGGGGTAAAATTGAAATACGAAACTGAAACTAACGATCTAATCGGATCGATATCGTGTCAATTCATTTTACCTTTGATATATCACGTCAATGTATTTAACACGCGCACCAGGTTAAAAAGAAATCGTGAAATTTTTCGTAATTATGCATGTTTCTTTCTTTGCATGTCTTTCGATTGCACTCACTCCAACCGAATGGAATCGATCGAAAAGGGAATAGAGCAACTAGTATGGGTGGTAGTGTGGCGGCAGCAGCACCAGAAAGCGAGAGAGATGAAGAGAAACAACAGCAGAAAAATGAGGCTTGAAGCGCATATAATTTGATGTGAACTTTAGAAGCATAAAATTACAAGTTCTTGCATTTTTGTGGCTTTCTGGATGTGTGTCTGAGCTGCCCTGACTCTCTTGTCTTGTGTAAATTGTGCGATAGTGTAATATTACCGTCATACCACCGCCGAAGGCGGCACAAAACAGTTCTGCATCGAACTACAAGTGATTGTTTTCAATTGAATGTTTCATGTCTGCTACTCAACAGATGCACTAATTAAATCACAAAACACATTAATGAAATGGCTACACAGACAATTCAAGCCGGTGTTTCGACATTATCTCTCTTTCTTTTGGCCTATGCTCTCGAATAGAACGAGTGCGTTGTTCACGTGTGTTCGGTTCACACCGCATCCACACACACACACACACACACGTACATCGTGCACGCATGACATCACACACAATCGGTGTGCCCCCCAAAACAGCTCCAATGACCGGGCATTCAGATGCAATTTCGAAATTGTGCACGCGTGCGCGCACTGCGTAGATAATGGTAAATGGGTACAGAACGATTCGCACTCAAACAAAAACTAAATTAAAAACGGCAAATGAGTAAACATTTTCAAATTTCAACCCAAAATAGAATATTTAAATGTGCTGCGTGTTTGTGGACGGCTGTGAAGCGTGTGAGTTTACTGCGGAGCGAATGAGAGAGATAAACCGACAGAGACAGAGACTATAATTGTTTTTGGAATTGAATTTCGCTTGAAAATGGTGAGAATTCCCAACGCATTAACGTGGTACAATAATTTTTATTGCGTACACACAATACGCTCACACCAAATTCAAACAAATCGAACTAAAAACAGAGCAACAACATTTATAGTTTTATATGTTTTGTTTTGTTTTTCTCTCTTCGAGCAAGCACAACCTTGAGATAGAAGGAGTGTTTGTGTGTATTGTGCATGGCTGCGCCCCCAAATGGTGAGCAAAACAATGGGAAAATTGCAAGAAAAAAAACATTTGAAACATTAACAAAAAAATGAACACGGCAATAAAAACCGAACAAAATTTTCTGACTATTTTCCCGTTGATCATTAAGCATACAAATGAACATTATGGGCTCGCACGGTGACACAAACTTGGCCATTCATATCATAATGATCGATAACATCTAACAGAGAATATTTTGTTTTTTTTTCTTGATCAGTACAAAGCTGAAATATGGAAATTACCTGGCTGCCTGATCCGCTGACTTGGCTGGCATCAACAAAACCGCCCTGGCATTGGTATTTTGGAACACAAGTACGACCATTTCCTTGGCATGGGGTGGTTTGTGGGCGTTGTGGTTCTTGTGGTGGCAAGTATCCAGGAGCACTGTACAATTTAGCAGCGGTGTTGCCTATAAATTATGCAGAGAGAGAGAGAGAGAGAGAGAGAGAGAGAGAGAGAGAAACACACACATTTTTATGTTGCAATTTTATAACCAAACTCAGCTATTGTTTTCATCCAAAAATCAAATTATGAACAGAGAAATAAAAAAAAAACAATGTTTAGGTCGCGATGCGCGCACCAAAATTAAGTGTTTCCGGTGACTGAATGAATGGATAAATAAACTCACAAACAAATCATGATGATGAACTTACTGCGTAAGAATGGATTAGCGGTGAAGTCGAATTGTTGTTGTGGTGGTCCAGCGGCAACAGCACGTTTGAATGGTGAGCCCTTGCTCATCCACCAGAATTTTCCATCTTGTTCAGCTGGTTGTTCACCGAACAAGTTGCTGTTCAAAACGACAGCATCGAATTGATCTTTTTCGCCGCAGTGGGCACCGACAAAGAAAAGCCCGACGAGGGCAAAACACACGTACATGCTATTTGTTATGGAAGAAAAGAAACAAAGCACACCGCAAATTATGATTAGTCAATCAATAGAATTTAAATTTCATTTGTTTTCGATTTTTCGATTTTTCGTTTTGGTAGAAAAAGTTTCGGAATAATATCAAAATGATTATTATTTGGTTGCCGATCAAATGTAACGCAAGACCGTAATTACATAAAAAAAGTAACAAAACCGTAAACAAAGCGAATGATAAATTTTCTCGCCAACAACATTCGAATGATGAAATAACGATTGTAATACGTTCAATTCGTCACGTCCAAAGATGCTCAACAACTTTGTTACGTAGCGCCGACAGAAAGAAAGGAAAATCGAAAAAAATGGCATCGAATGTGCGATGGCAAAAGATGCATTTAATTTCATTCAAGTGGAAATCATTAAAATTTTATGCCGCGAAAAAAAAAATCATATTTGCAACGTTTCCAGCTGATCGACGACACATCGGCATCAAGAAATGTATGCAAAAATGTTGTCTGCAAAATTGTTTCACCGCATCTTCGTCTGATCCAAAATTGATAGTGTGCTGCTAATTTGGTCGAACCGCAAATCGTGTCCGAACGAAGTTCAGAATTCGAAGCAAACAACCATAACAACTCGAAAGCGGTTCGTCGAGAGAAGAAATGCATTTCACATGAAATGAAAACGAAAGAGGCGTCGAAAGTGAACAAGAACAGATGTACAATTCCATTTGATCGATGATGGTGTTGTTGTTGATGTTGAGCATTTACAATGTTGTCAATAATAAATTTTACAATGGCACTACAGTATGTGCGATGTGTTAACATCAAGAAAAACACTATGTAGTGCATATTCTGAGTGGAACTGAGTTCGACATCAGTGTTGTTCGAAGCAACGACGGAATAAAAAAAAAACAAAAACCAAAATTAAAATGATTTCCATGGGCCGTGCGTATCAACGTCATCAACGCGCCGACAACGACAATACGGCAAGGAAAAAAGCAACGAAAGAATCGAATAAATAAACAAAACTTAAAACCGGTGTAGATTGCTCACTCATTTCACCTTGCCGTGCCCTACTAAAGATTTTCAGCAGACTCACTGCTCCAACCATACCATCTCGCACAACAATAATAATGAATTCTGAAATGGGAGCGTGCAATGCCATACACCATTGAGGAGAGAACGACGACGAAGTCGAAATGAGAGAAAAACTCGCCTAAAAAAATAATGTAATATATCGACGTTGAATTAAACAACAACAACAAAAAAAAAAGACGAAGTTCAATTGAACCCAATTGGAAAATGTCTTTCATTCACACACGAAATACGCGCGGTTGGCGAACTTTAACATTTGTTCAACGCATTACACATATTCGGGTTACACAAAGTGTATATTTCGTAATCGGTATTTTGTGTGCATTGCGATAATAGGATTACAAAGACGGAAACCGTGCAATTCTTTTTACATTTGAAATGATAATGATCGAAACAGAATCAAACCAATGTTTGAATTTTTCATTTATAGTCGAAATCAACGAACTGAATTCCTCGTGAAATAGACAGGCTTTGCCACTGATCTAATCCTTTTGATTTGTCACTTTGGGACGATCTCTTGACATGGATTTTTACTCTTTCTCTCTGAATATCACTTGTTGTGGCTACAGGAGTAAAAGTTGATAGTTTCCTTTATTTCAAATGATTGTTATATCCGATTGTTGCATTTGATTTGCTTGTTTTGCACGAAAAGCGCCAGAAAATGTACACTCATTATACTCAGCCAATTCAGCACTTGCAATTTGCATTGCAACCAAATAAATTTCAACTTGACCGAAAAAAAAATCTTTATTATTCCGTAGAAACTTTTCTAATGACAAAACAAATTAAAATGAATGAATTTGGTTGTTGCTGTTGTTTTCTCTTACATTACGGAAATTTTTGGGTAAAACTCGAAAGAAATGAAGTAAATTATCCAAAACGGATGTTTCGCTGGTAATCCAAATTTGTTGTGGTTGACGAAATGAAAAAAATCACTCAAACACAATAGTTTGTCCCAAAAAAAAACGCACTAAAATTCGTAGCACAAGATTGAAAATCCAAATACGATCTTTGCACTTCGAATGATCACCTTAGTATGAGAGTCAGTAGCAAATTACCGCATTTATATAGCGAATCGAAAATCATGCGGTGGCTGTTTTAGTTTTCGTTTTCGTTTTCGTTGCCTCTCTGCAAAAGTGGTTGGTGTGTATTCAGAGGATTTGCTGTGTGTATCTCGTGTGCGCGCGTTCGCATCTATGGCTGTTGTTTTCTATCTATCTCTGTTTTGCACACGACCAAGCTGCAAGCTCTCTCGATAAATTGGCCGAAAAGACGACAACAACAACAACAAAAATGTGTACCATAACCATAAGGTGCCGCTGCTGTGTGCGCGATTATTCGCACGCTTGTGCTTGTGTGTCATCTCAACGCTAGCTCATTTCTTGAAAGCAGCACCGCGATCACCATAGCTACAGTTGTGATTAAAGGTAAAGAGAGAAAGAAATACATAATACATGCATGTGAAGCCACAAACCCATACAGACGCTACGCTGGCTACGTATCTTCTTGATGGCTTTGGCTGTTGCTGCTGCTGCTGCTGCTGGTATTTTTGCCTGTTTTCTTTGCCAATTGTTTGGCTTTCGATCAAAAAAGACTTCTTCCATGCTAGCGGCTACTGTTGCTAGATGCTGTATTATTGATAATCGTTTCTTCGAAAGAAAAAAACCTATCCACATTTTTTCCCTCCAATGCTGGTTTCAAATGTTTTTGCCAATATGCAATGCTGCTGATGAACGTGCATTTACATATGCTATTCGTTATTCGTGGAACATACATACATGATAGAAGTAAGTAAGGTAGAGTGGAAAAAAAAATTGCGGAAAAAATGTATTGTTCATATCGTTTGGTTTTTGTGTTTCGATCGCTTATCTTTTTTCGTTATAATTTATTCATATTTGATGGAAGACGTTTTTCATCGGCCATTTTTTTTTCTGTTCCAGCTCGAACTCAAGAGCTCCGATGTAACTGATAACACAGTTTCATTCGTTTTACATATTTGGCATAGATTTCGATTTCACATTTTCTTTTCGGTGAAAATCACATGGATTACTTCTCAATCTCTCACACGATTTGTTTACCTGATCACATCAAATTGCAGCATTTCAAATGTGAATCAATACTTATCTCATACTTTTTCATATGTGTGTATGATCACATAGTCGGAAAACCCAAAATGATAACATCCTTGTTTGTAATTTGTCGCATCCGCTTCCATTTAACTTTGCCGCGACTGCGATATGTGCGGAAAAAAAACAATGGCATTTTTATTTCTCAATTGCAATCGTTAATATTATTCATTTATCGAACAATTATACGCTTCAAAAACAAGCGATTAGTATTAATTTATTCGTAGAAATATGAGTTCACACGAATTGAATAATGCAAATATTCCAATGCGTTCGGTGGTATGACACAAGACATAATTAAAATATCATTCCGATTCTAATGAGAAAGAAATCCAAATTGAATCACAATTTCAATGGAGCAATGGTAATATGCAAATGCATTTCAACATTTTCACGGGCGGTGCGACGCAGCGCTATGTGCAGCGCGGTTTGATTTGGCGCAAATTGTGTGCGCGCGAGCGCACGTACCCATATCGTGAGTGGCTGAGAGAGCGCGCTACCAAAGGAGGTGAAAAGGCAGCAGGGCGCAGAAAAGAAAGACAACGAAAATCAACACACACACACACACACACACACACTGTACAACGCGCCAAAGTTGTGTGTATTTTAATCACAGAGGTGTTTCTTCATAACTATTTTGCTTAAGCTTTTATAATTTATGTTAAAAACTTTTCAGTGCAAAAAAAAGACACCAAATCTAAAATGAAACGAAACGAAGCAATGAACAAAAATATTGAATTGAAACGAAACGGAATTATAATGATCACACGATGAACCGACGAGATCGTCGTAACAATGATAATGATGTTGATGATGCGAGCGAAAAGAATATACACAGAGAAAAAAAACAACAACAACAACGATATTCATATTATTGAGAATTACTTCATTCATTGTCGGCAGAATGGATGGCTTTTTTATTCTTCCCGTGTGTTTTTATGTGTATGTGGGTTAAATGCCTACAGAGGCACTCAATGATTAGCTCATCCAATTACAAAGAACATTTCGAGAAAGGAAAACGCAATAAAACACACATCTCCTTCCAGGATGTTGTTGCTTAATTTGGTGGAGGATGTTCTTTTTTTTTTGAGAGAGAGAGAGAGAGAGAGAGAGAGAAAGAGATTCTTTCGCACATATTTTTATTCCATTGTTTGATACATTTGGTTGAAATCACGCTTGATCCGTGTTCTCATTCGTAAATTGTGTTTCCAGCTACTGATGATCAATAGATGATGATCATTTTTTACCCATCTATCAAAAAATCTATGGAAGCATTTCACGCTTTTGAAATAGATCACAACCATTATTTCGCCAAGTGCTTATCTGCGTGAACTTTTATTTCCCTATCATTAAGTCATTTTGCAAAAATGTGGAGGAATTGATTACAAAGTGTTTAAAAATTTGCTCTTTTGCGCAGAAACGGATAAAACGTTGTTTTTTTTTCCATCAATCACCATGTTTTCGACAAATAAACGCAGGAAAAACAAACACATTCATTTACCAAAAAGATAAAAGAGCAAACAGTTGCGAGCATCAATGATACATATTTTATGATAAATGTATCCGTATTTACAACACACACACACACACACACACACACACACACATTTACTGGGTAAATAAAGTTAGTAATCATTAGGACGGTTCTGATTAATTCTGTATTCTTATAGATCCAGTATTGGTTGCTGTTCGGCAACATAGTTAATATGCTAAATTTGAAGCTGTGATTTTGGCCGTTAAAATGTCCAAACTGACTATGGTATGATGTGCGCATAAATTACAGGTGCCGTATTGTTCTGGAGAGCGAACACTGTTTGAATGGATTGAATGGGGTTACGATGGGAAAAAAAATGTTCGATCTCCATCTGCTAAATATGGATTTTTCATTCGTCCATTCGATAGAGTGATTAAAATTTTGATCAAATCTGGCTGTTGATATTGAAATTGAACACCATACATAGACCACTGACGTCATTTGATTTATTGTCTGTTTTTTTTTATGCCATTTTCACTCTTTCAAAACATTTCAAATGATACGATTGTTTTTACCACGCATAAATGCCGCAAAATCACCACTTTTCAGCGAAAAAGAAAAATAATAGTAATCGAGAATGAAAGCGAAAACGAAAACGAAACCGATTTCGCACCAGTTCAGTTGTCCTTTGTGAAATTGGAATTGCATATATATGATATGTTTGAATAGCATCTTGACCGAGTTCCGTAAAAGAGTTTTGAAGTACCACTCAATTTGGCGCCAGAGGAGACATTGTTCAAAAGAAGGTGATTAAAATATATATTGGCATGGATATGAAAATGATGGAGGCTAAATTAAGAAATCACTTCGACTTTTTGAAGAACATATCCAAAGCAAATAAATGTCTACATTAATTTAGTCATCATAAAATATAGGATCTCAAATGTACTTTGGGCTAATTAACATCTACGCATCGTTTGAAGAAGCAAAAAAAAAACCAACAAAATACGTAAACTTGATTCCTCAATAGAGAGAGAGAGACATGCGATGGTCTAGTCTCGTTTCAAAAATCAAAACGTTTAAAGCCAACTTCGTCATCGACCGACACTTGATCACACTGACTGATTATGACGTCTCGCCAGCGAAAACAAAAACACAATTCGAAAAAAAAATATGATACTTCCTTATGGGATTGGTCAATGCGAACAATTTGATTATTTCATCAATAAAAGTTTTTACACACACACACAAAAAATTATTACATGTATTTATAAGTCGTTTTTTGTCGGAATTTTAAATTGAATTGTTCCTTATCGAAATGGATAATTGAATTAATTTCATATTCTCCTTTTGTGCAGAAGCAGTGGGCAGCGACATTTTCATGTCAACAAATTATCAATTTCTTTTTCATCAACGCCGCATTTCGTTCCATATTCATTTTCTTTCTTCTCTTCTTCGCTTTCGTTCATTGTTTGATTTGGCTTAAGACTACTCTGCCGGTTATGCAGTCATGTAAAGCAATAAAAACAATTTGCTGCTCCGGAGCATGAAACTGATGTGATTAATTGCAACATTGCTGGTTGGTTGACTTTTTTTCCTCTCCCTATCAATATGGATATTTTCGATAAAAAAAAAATTTTTTAAATCGAAATCCACACCATTTCATACAAAATCGGAATGGAATGAGATGAAAAGTATAATCTGCGCAAGCATCCATATAATGAATAAATTTCGGGTTTTTCTTATAAATTTGATTTGATGTTTGTTGTTGCTTTTGATTTGGGAATAATTAAAATCGCGTTGAATATAGTTGTTTGTTAAGAAACAGACACAAATATGCAGTAGGCCAGTTTCAAATCCACATTTTATTTGGCTTAGATATGGGTAAAAACAAAACACTAATCAAAATTTACGGCCAAATCGAATTCATTTGGTTTTAGCCATGCTAAATATAAATCAGCAGCTCTTCAGTTTTTATGACAAATCAATGCGCGAAAATATTGAAGACAAACCATGTGGAATATCATAACACTTTTACTTTCTTCGCGGTCTCTTTCTCACTCGCTCTTACATACTTGTGTATATTTTTTGAAAGTCATTCGGTGTCAAAAGGAGAGTATACATTTCGGTCTTTATTTTCGATAAATTGTCACAACATTAACCCTACAAATGTGATCGGGTTCATTTGACCTATCAACAATTTCGTCATCGACAAAATATGAAAAAAAAAATTAATTGACGGAACAAATTCTGTTCGCATTGATTACATCGATAGTCAAATGGTAAAACCAGCTCGATTCCTTCAAAGAACTGACATCATTCTTATGACATCCACTGATTTAGATTCAATCAGATCGTCCTATCAAAAAGGTGAAACAAGAAACGAATGACAGAAAAAAGACGTCAATTGTGGATAGCAGGTTAAATTTCGGTATGAATTAC